GGTTTAGAAAAGAGGTGTTGGGTTTGGGGGGGGGGGGGGGGGGGGGGGGACATTTGAGAAAAGATCACATAAAAAAAGAGAGATGGGCAATTAGCATTTAGCACCTTGCATGCAGTATTGGAGACATTAACTACAAGTTACTGATAATTGAAAGTAGTTAAACAACAGTAAAGCTATCCTTTTAAAAGAAAGTGATTAATATCACTACAAGCTAGCAAGAACAAGTTGCTAACGACAATTGTTATTTAAAAGGACAATTGAAAAAAAAATCTGATTACTGTCTGAACGAAGTGATTCACTAAACCCACTGTCTTTTTACGTATTTTATTATTACCTTAGGCCATTCAGATGCAAATATATATAAAACGTATATTTAAAAAACAGCTATATTGTCACGATACTGCTACTGTGGAGGAGACGAAGAAGCGTGGAGACGAAGGAGATTCAGAGTTCATCACAGTCTTTATTAAATCCAAATATAGACTGTGACATGGCGGAGCAGGGAGCTCAGGGGACCATGGCGGAGCAGACAGTTCAGGAGGCCTGGCCTCGGCACTCGGCCCAACCGCTACGGATGGATCCCTATAACCCCCACCCCCCACCCACCCCAAAAAAAGAGGAGAATATTGGTTTCTGAGGCCCTCCGTGGGCAGGATGTGGGAACAGCGGCCCTCACTGGGCTGGACGTGAGGACTGGAGCCCTCCTTGGGCTGGACGTGGGGACTGGAGCCCTCCTTGGGCTGGACGTGGGGACTGGAGCCCTCCTTGGGCTGGACGTGGGGACTGGAGCCCTCTTAGTGCTGAAAGTGGGAACTGGAGCCCTTTCAGGAGCGGACTCGGGGCTGGAGCCAACACTGGAGTGGACTCAGCAGCTGGAGCCGACACTGGAGAGGACTCGGGGGCTGGAGCCGACACTGGAGGGGACTCAGGGGCTGGAGCCGTTACTGGAGCAGACTCAGGGGCGGGAGGCGACCCTGGAGCGGACTCAGGGGTTGGGATGAGAGCGGAGGACAGTTGGAGCCGACACTGGAGGGGACTCAGGGGCTGGAGCCGTTACTGGAGCAGACTCAGGGGCTGGAGCCGACACTGGAGCGGACTCAGGGGTTGGGATGAGAGCGGAGAACAGTCTCTTTTTTTCCTCCTCCTCCTCCTTTGGTTAGGGTTAAAGGGAGCGGCCGATGGGCCTGACTTCGGAATGGCTGGCGGGCTTGAGAATGGCACGGCTGGCGGGCTTGACTGCGGGCTAATTCTGGAAATAACGGGCAAACTCTATGAATGGGAGATTTCTGCGGGATAGGGCAGAGAACTTTGCGGCGACCTCCATGGCCGCGGGGAGAAATAGGAAAGACTTTCAATAAACGGGAAAAAAAATACCGGGGAGAAGGGGCGCCGCTTACTCTATTGTTTGGGTCCGGTATTCTGTCACAATAATGCTACTGTGGAGGAGACGAAGGAGCGCAGAGACAAAGGAGATTCAGAGTTCATCACAGTCTTTATTAAATCCAAATAAATACACACATGGAACGGGCAGGAACACACACATAGCACTGGAGTTAGACGTACAATACCGGACGCTAGACATGGAAAGACACAGGGCTTAAGTAATGGGACTAATCAAGGAAATTAATGGGAACCAGCTGAAACTAACGTAATTGACACGAGGGGGAAACTAGGTAATGGGGAGAAAAACACAAGACACGGGAACACAGGACTGACATATATAGTGCTTGTCACACTACATCACTACTAGTACTCATTGCCAAATGTTGCTTATTTCTGTGAAAGCTACACTATACAGCTACTGTATACCTACTGAAAAATTTAGTTAAGCTGGGTTATCACTTATCAGTGAAAAATGTTCTTTACATTTTATAGCTACATTTTCACGTTTGTTTTTACACCACAATTAGTGTAGGCACCACTTTATTTGCCACAACAAATCTGCAACACAATATGAATAAATTCACAATTGTTAAGTACAACTGATATTCTGATAATTTTGTGTTGATGCTGAAGTGCATTCCTCTGGTGGTTTGTAAGTAGGTTACTCTTCTAATATGTGGATGCTTCACACTGTTAACATGCAAGTGTTTTCATCTTCACTCCCTCTCCTACACACTTCGTGTCATCTCTCTACTCTCACTTTTATATTCAAAATAAATAAGCATCAATCTGAATGACAAATCAACCTTTTTCTCTTCCCTTTAGGTTTTTGAGGAAAACACATACTTTAATCTTTAAGAGCAGAGTTTAATTCCGTTTATACAGGATTTCCATCTCTAGCTTGTGTGTTGCTGATTAAGTATGTGAGTCATAAAGCATGATACTCAGTGTGCCATTGCAGGCATCCAGTGTGGAATCAATACTCATATCACAAGTACTTGATAACCCTTTAGTGTTGGGCTGGACGTGGGGACTGGAGCCCTCTTAGTGCTGAAAGTGGGAACTGGAGCCCTTTCAGGAGCGGACTCGGGGCTGGAGCCAACACTGGAGTGGACTCAGCAGCTGGAGCCGACACTGGAGAGGACTCGGGGGCTGGAGCCGACACTGGAGGGGACTCAGGGGCTGGAGCCGTTACTGGAGCAGACTCAGGGGCTGGAGCCGACACTGGAGCGGACTCAGGGGTTGGGATGAGAGCGGAGAACAGTCTCTTTTTTTCCTCCTCCTCCTCCTTTGGTTAGGGTTAAAGGGAGCGGCCGATGGGCCTGACTTCGGAATGGCCGGCGGGCTTGAGAATGGCACGGCTGGCGGGCTTGACTGCGGGCTAATTCTGGAAATAACGGGCAAACTCTATGAATGGGAGATCTCTGCGGGATAGGGCAGAGAACTTTGCGGCGACCTCCATGGCCGCGGGGAGAAATAGGAAAGACTTTCAATAAACGGGAAAAAAAATACCGGGGAGAAGGGGCGCCGCTTACTCTATTGTTTGGGTCCGGTATTCTGTCACAATAATGCTACTGTGGAGGAGACGAAGGAGCGCAGAGACAAAGGAGATTCAGAGTTCATCACAGTCTTTATTAAATCCAAATAAATACACACATGGAACGGGCAGGAACACACACATAGCACTGGAGTTAGACGTACAATACCGGACGCTAGACATGGAAAGACACAGGGCTTAAGTAATGGGACTAATCAAGGAAATTAATGGGAACCAGCTGAAACTAACGTAATTGACACGAGGGGGAAACTAGGTAATGGGGAGAAAAACACAAGACACGGGAACACAGGACTGACATATATAGTGCTTGTCACACTACATCACTACTAGTACTCATTGCCAAATGTTGCTTATTTCTGTGAAAGCTACACTATACAGCTACTGTATACCTACTGAAAAATTTAGTTAAGCTGGGTTATCACTTATCAGTGAAAAATGTTCTTTACATTTTATAGCTACATTTTCACGTTTGTTTTTACACCACAATTAGTGTAGGCACCACTTTATTTGCCACAACAAATCTGCAACACAATATGAATAAATTCACAATTGTTAAGTACAACTGATATTCTGATAATTTTGTGTTGATGCTGAAGTGCATTCCTCTGGTGGTTTGTAAGTAGGTTACTCTTCTAATATGTGGATGCTTCACACTGTTAACATGCAAGTGTTTTCATCTTCACTCCCTCTCCTACACACTTCGTGTCATCTCTCTACTCTCACTTTTATATTCAAAATAAATAAGCATCAATCTGAATGACAAATCAACCTTTTTCTCTTCCCTTTAGGTTTTTGAGGAAAACACATACTTTAATCTTTAAGAGCAGAGTTTAATTCCGTTTATACAGGATTTCCATCTCTAGCTTGTGTGTTGCTGATTAAGTATGTGAGTCATAAAGCATGATACTCAGTGTGCCATTGCAGGCATCCAGTGTGGAATCAATACTCATATCACAAGTACTTGATAACCCTTTAGTGTTATAGCTGATGGGGCCGACATGTAAGCACTAACTGTGGTGTTTAATTCCTCGTGTACGTGTTCATACAGATTTATGCGATCATAAAGTAGTGCGAGGCTAGCAGTTTAAGTATTGTATTCTGCTTTTGTCATATTTACAGCAAGTACAGGTTCAGATAAGCGATTTTGCTCTATAATAACTCTTCAGTAGGCGGTCCCTGATCTGGTAGTGTTCTCTTTTGCTTTGTTTTAAAAACGTTTTCATTGTGCTTACTGCCCCCTGCAGGAGAAAGAGAAGAAGTAAATGCTGCCACTGGACAACCTGAAGCTCAGAGATATAGAGAAGAGTTTCATGTCCAGCAAGCACTTGTTTGCTCTCTTTAACACTGAACAGTTAGAGGTTAGAGAAAATGTTTTACTCACTGCAGAGCTCTCCAAAATAAAGAAATACATTAATATCCATAATGCATAATTAATATTAATATAAACTGCCATTCAAAATGTGGGGTCGGTTTTTTAAATGCTAACAAAAGCTGCATTTATTTGATCAAAAACACAGTAAAAACAGTAATACAGTGAAATATTAATACAATTTAAAATTGTAATTTAAAACAGTTTTCTATTTGAATATATCTTATTATATTCAAATATATAGAATATAGAATATATCTGATTGTAATGTATTCTTATGATGGCAAAGCTGAATTTTCAGCTTCATTACTCCAGTCTTCAGTGTCACATGGTCCTTCAGAAATCATTTTAATATGCTGATTAGGTGCATATATACTAAAAATTAACACACATAATAAACATATATAATAACAATACTTTTAATACTGATTTATGTAATTTAGTAATACATCTCAAATGACACTATTGTCTGGTCATTTTTATTTCGTAAGCACAATATGACTTATGCATGTTGTTGGACTGTTGTCTTAGGAACGTGTATAAAGACTATAGGCAACTTGAGTTGGCTTGTGACACCCAGGAGGAGGTGGACAGCTGGAAGGCATCCTTCCTACGAGCTGGAGTTTTCCCAGAGTGCATCATTGTATGTGAATGCTTCCACTGATCACCTCCCAGTCATATTAACATATTAACTCATTACTGTGCTGTAACAGCTGCCACACGTATAACCAATCACCAATGCAATTCTAACAAACATTGATAGCTTACTAACTTCACTTACTGTGCTTTCTTTGCTACATCTGCAGGATAAAGAGAAGGTAAGTTCCCTTTCAGTCGGTCACTCTCGACGTCACGTCGGAGGACCGACGAATTGGGATCTCGCTTAGAGGGACCAATCTACTTCGAGTGTAAACTAACCGAGCCAATGCACATTGGCATGCGATTATTGCATCCAGCTGCTGCTGATCACAGCGTGAGTATAAGTAGGCAGCAGATGCAGCGCATATTCAGCTTTTCGCTTCGGAGCCGAGCGATCACATCGTTCTGCTCCTGATTACTCTACGGAGAGAAGAAGACTGAACGAGTTCAGCACGCTCTTGGAGAGCTCTTCGTGTTGGCGGATGGCGCTTCAGCGGTGGTGGTTTCCCGTGTCGAGTGGGTTGCACACATCAGGCTGCACTACCCCCTGTTTGTGTTGCAGATGATGATCTCCCCTGTGCGCCTCAGCACGCCTGCTTCATATGAGACCGCTTTAACACTGGCTCCATGGCCAAGTCCTGAGGTGGGCGTGGCTACGCGGCACTCACCGGGTCCGAGTCACACCGGCCTTCCGCCAAACCTTCACCCCGTGGTCAGACCCTTTGTTTCTCTGGGCAGGAGTGCCCCAGGAACAGGTCTCCAGGCATGCCGTTGTTTACATGGATACCTCCACCACCGGTTGGGGGGCCACATACAACGGGCTTGCAGTGTCGGGGGTTTGGACAGGGCCCCAACTGCACTGGCTGCCTCGAGTTGCTGGCAGTGCACCTTGCCCGGGGCCGTCTCAAAGGGCGCTTACGAGGCAAGCGTGTACTAGTCCACACGGACAACACAGCGACCGTTACGTACATCAGCCTACTGGCTGGCTAACTTGTACTCATGTGGAGACCAGAACTCTCTGATGGAGGAGTCAGCAGAACAGGCTCAGCACAGGGAAGAGATGCTGCGCATGTACCACGATCTGAAAGAGGCCCTCAACATTATCGGGGACATCAGCACCACCACCGTCTCCACTGCCATGCCCGGTGGATGACTCCTGGCTGCAGGTACAAGGAGGACCTTCAGGGCGCAGGTATTGTGTCATCTTCTTTTAATAAATCAACTTTGTTTTTGATGTGAGTTTCAGTGTACACTTACATTTCAATTAAGAATTTGAATGATATGGCCTTTCATTTGTTCAGTATTTCATACTGAAACAGGAAATTGAGGTAGAATATATTAAAGTATATATTAAAATATATATTTAATCAGTTTTAAATAGCCAATAGCCTTTACTTTATCCTAGCCAAGTTAAACCATTATTTGTACTTGATATTGCTGCAAAACCCCAATTCTGATTTCATGAGGTCTTTAATATGTGTTTGGCATTGTACTGTCCTAATAAGCCTGTTCAAGTTTTAAGGTTTAAAGTAGTTTTAAGATTGAAGCAGTAACTAGGCATCATAAGCATCATTAACAGACAGGCAGGCAGGCAGATAGGCAGACGAACAGACAGATAAAGAAAGAAAGAAAGATGATATACAGGACAAAAGATAGATAGATAGTTTTCTTTCTCAAGCTAACATAACATTCTATTTATTTTCTCATTTTCTCACACACCAATGTGTAGTCCCACTCCCCAGCGTCGGGCCCCACCTGGGCCCCCTCGTCCAGGTGGACGCACCGCCCCCAGGACCCCCTACCGCTGGAGCACCTCCTGTGCCATCCAGACCTGGAGCCTCTCCTGACCCCTTCAGGGGCCCCGGGCCCCAGGTCCCCTCTCGTCCCAACCGCGCCCCACCAGGTGTCCCCAGGTGAATCAGAGAGGAGGTTCGTTCATACAGTAATTGTGCAGAACATTATTACCATCCTGTCATATAAATAAGAGTAATAATGTTCCAGTGTAATTGTTCAGATGGTGCAAATGCAAATGAAATGGCCTTTGAAATGTTTAATTTAATTAAATACAAAATGTGTTTTGACTACTGTGGGGAGTAATACAAGTGCTAATGTTGTTGAGAGCAATGATCTACAAACTACCCTCCATTTACACTCTTTACAGCCCTTCTGCCCTGCCCTGATCCCTGGTCTTTAACACAAGAAAGACAGATCAGTAGCACTCTTCCTGCTATTTCTACTTCTCTCGCCTGTCACAATCCATTACTTTTTCTCAGCTCACACACTTCTACACACAGTCCAACTCAGAGACCTTCACTAACAAACCACTCACACATTTTTTCAACTCTGCTGATTTTCTTTCTCCATCTCCTTGACATGAATCCAAGTGCATATTCATTCAAATGTTGTTTTAACTCATTGAGTTCATGTATTGTTTGTATGTAATATATAGTAACATCAGTGCATCAGCTTTGTGAGATAATTTTCTCATGTCGATATACATGTTTGGGAGGAAAATATAAGAGAATCAGACCAATTAAACAGGACAAACCCTGGAGATGATAGGTTTTTGCTTCCTCCCATTGCCTCTTTTCTGTCGCCCCATGTTCTCCTCAAACTCAGTCCCACTAAATCCCTTCCACAATGATTCCGGTTATTCTTTCAGAATTTCTATCAGTGACCAATGAGGAGTTACGCAAATGTCCGACATATTGTCCTTATGTGACATCACCACGTCCTTGCATGGTTCCATCTTTAAATGTGTTAACATCTGCTGTTCCCTGACACCTACCATTCACTAGATATGAGTACACCTGCCTATTACTGTCAGTTCATTTGTTCAGAGTATTTTATTTTTCTAAAGTTTTTATTTAAACTATGCTCGGAACTGCCATTTAATTTTATAAGGAAGAGATGCCACCTGATTGAACAATTTGGTTTCTAACAATAGTTGTGTTGAAGTTACCATAAGTTAACATGGTTTTAAATCAATTTAATTTAATATTTATTTTTTACTAATATTAAATTTAATTAATTTAGAATTGTTGTATTTATATCATAAATTAACACAAATGAATTTGTATTTTTGTCATTTATATTTTTTATTTAATTTAATGCAGAAATAGTTGTTTGAGTCACCATAAATTAACATTAATTTAAAAGTTTTATTCTTTGTATTTTTTAATTAGATTCAATTTCATAATTTTATTTTTTTGTAATATTTTTTTTAATTCTTTGTCAGTTTTTATAATCTCACATTGTAATTGAAATAATCACATTGTAATGGGCATCTGAATAATACACCCAGTGTCAACATTCGATGTCACTGCAATGTTAATTATACTGCAGATGCTGTGTGGTGTTGGTGTTTACTCACAAGACAATGTCGACTTAATCTATATAGAGGTGTCACACGAACTAAAGGTGAATCTGCCATACATAAGCTTACAGAATATTCCTGTCTGCCCGCCATTATAAAGGATAGCGGATACACGAAGTAAACTTCACGATTTTTGTACTTGTTATGTGGTACTGTGTGTGAATGTATTCTTCCTGAGAGTTTGAACGTTATTTGATGCCACAGTGTTTGTTTCGGCCACAATGTCTCTTGTATTTTCCCTAGCAAACTAATAAGTCATGTCTGACTGAAATGTACATACATTAGAATACAAGTGCATCTCAATAAATTAGAATGTCATGGAAAAGTTCATTTATTTCAGTAATTCAACTCAAATTGTGAAACTCGTGGAAAATGTGTGAACAAACTAATTTTGAGTTTTTCTTTATTTATTTTTGTTATTTCTCCCCCTTTTGGCTGTTTCACAATGTTCTTTACAGTGCCCAATATTGATCTGCATTTAGCTGCACTGATATGAATTTCTAAGCAGGGAGCAGAAACTGCTGTCACACTGGACATCAATGTAAAGTAGTTCTCATTCACCTCCAGTCTCTCCTGGAGTCAGATGAGGTCAAAGTGTATAGTGCTGTATGTGGTGTTGTGCTTGACTCACAGTGTGTGGCTTTGTTTATGTTAAGTGGGTCAACAACACTTAACACAATGTAGTTGTTTCATCAATAGAAATACAACAAGAGTTCTTTGGAGTGAGGGAGGAGGTGTGCAGTACATGACAGTAAAAACTTTATCTTTCCTGTAATTATGTAAGTACAAATATTGTTTTTCAGTAGAACTTGTTCTCCAATTTATGCCTCTTAAATTAGCATTGGAAAACCTCCCCTTGCTTTGTAATAAGATGTCATTTTGCTATTAAAATTGCTAGAATATTTTCCAAATCATCACGTTTTTTTTCACTAAAACATTTTAAGAGGTTTATTCTTTTAAAGAAATCATTCCCAAGTGAAAATCTTTCTGATTAGTTATTGTTGTGCTGATGGTCACAGGTTTTCAAACTGTTTAACACAAATGAGTGCTTTCACATTATAATGAGGCACATCCCATGTTTCGTTACGTCCTTGTTTAGCAACAAGCCTGTCTTTTGTTTAGCCTTTTTTTGAGGTGTAGGGCCAGCTGAACAAGAACTATTTCAGCAAAAAAATTTTGGCAATATAATGTCTTGTTGTTGTAACCACTGTCTTCAGTGTAACCTAAGCCCATTTTAGGTAACTGAAAACAGTATAATTGTCTCTTTACTATGGAAGCCAGTTCCACCTCAGAGTATAAAAATAACCAAGAGTTTAAAAAGGAAATAAAGTCAAATTGTGTAATATAAAGCTATTAAAAGATCACATCTAAATTTAATTATAAGCTCACTTTAGTGGTATGCAGGAGAAACGACGATTTGTAAAAACTAAACAAAATAAAGAACAACAAAATGTGCCAGACAAGGAAAGAAAGCAGTTTTGCTAAAGCTATTAAAAGATCACATCTAAATTTAATTATAAGCTCACTTTAGTGGTATGCAGGAGAAACTGACACGATTTGTAAAAACTAAACAAAATAAAGAACAACAAAATGTGCCAGACAAGGAAAGAAAGCAGTTTTGAGAGGGAAAACTGTTCTGTGATTTCCACTGAAATGCACTACAGAGTACTTGGCTAACAGTGAGGATGAAAAAAAGTTAATGGGTTAGTTCACCCAAAAATTCTGTCATTAATTACTCACCCTCATGTTGTTCCAAATCCGTAAGACCTTCGTTCATCTTCGGAACACAATTTAAGATATTTTTGATTAAATATGCACTGTAAAAAAAAAAAAAATCTGTGACATATACGGTAAAATAGCGGCAGCTATGGTTGCCAGAACTTCACCGTAAAAAACATGGTAGCAACATATTAGGTTTTACAGACTTAGCTTAAATTCACAATAAAATACCATATTTCAATAACTGATGTAATATTAATAAACCAACATATTGAAGTACTAATATCTGTTTTGAACCATTGTAATTGCCTGATAACCACCAAAAACTGGTGGTGATGAGAAAGTCACATAATGAAGCAAAGCTCATCACAAACAGCTTTTCTACGAGCTGAGGAGGGTAATACTTATATGGTGCACAGTGTCATTCACACTAACACTAAACCCCATCATGGTGACACACATGATACTGAAATAATGCAATAAACATTAATTTAACGACATTAGATGTAAGATAAAACCCTAATGTACACAACTGATAAGAAAAAAACTAAGAAGAAGAGTTATTTCAACAAAAAAACATCAAATATGAAGTGTCATGCAGGGAATTCTGGGAGTGTCAATTTACGTTTTTTCACTGTAAATTATACAATGACTTTTTCTTTTTCACTTCCAAAAACAATATTTTTTAACAGTATTTGACAGTAAAATGACATTAAATGTAATTACATTTATTCACCGTATATAGTATGGAAACTTACTGTTAACCAATTAACAGGTTTTTACTGTAACACTTTTACAGTCTTTTACTGTTAAAATCACAATCATTTTTTACAGTGTGAGGGCTCTCTGACCCCATAGACAGCAAGGTAACCACCACGTTCAAGGTCCAGAAAAGTACCAAGATGATCAACAAAGTAGTCCGTGTGACATCAGTGGTTCAACTGTAAAGTTAAGAAGCTACGAGAATGACGTCATCACGCCGGATCTTTGTCGATCATCTTGGTACTTTTCTGGGCCTTGAACGTGGTAGTTACCTTGCTGTCTATGGGAGGGTCAGAGAGCCCTCAGATTTCATCAAAAATATCTTAAATTGTGTTCCGAAGATGAACGAAGGTCTTACAGGTTTCGAACAACACGAGGGTGAGTAATTAATGACAGCATTTTTGGGTGAACTATCCCTTTAAACTCTTTCTGGACACCTGGCAACTGTAGTTAAAGACACTATACTGTGCCTCACTTGAAAAACATAACCTAGTCTGTGAGTGAAGGAAAACAAGAAACACTTATCCTGTGGATCTTAACTAATGTAATACTGTAAAAACATGGAACTAAAATAAAAAATTGCATACACAGTAAGACACGTTTTTTTTTTGGATGACTGGAACCCAGCAAAAATAAAAATGTAAAAGAAGGAATAAAACTACTGTAAAGAGAACAGTTACTCCCTTGGGGCAAATACTTTTGCAGTCCCCATGAGTTTTAGACATTTCTGCAAATGCAGTCAAACGCCGTGTGTTTCAAATGCAGCGCTCGGATTGGTGGAGAGATCCATCCAGCGCGTCTGAGCGCACACACTTCCTCTCCAGAGCGGGATGGGGGGAGTTTCTGCAGTTTGAATGTCCCACTCACAGCTAGTAAAAATAAACATAATAGCTGGGATTTTGTGTTAGTAAAGAAGATGGATTATAGCAGACAACATGCGCAAAATATGGACATCAGAGAAAGGTAAGTGTAAATGGCATAATATGTTGGGGGACGTTTGGAAACGCCTACTGAGAAACCCCTAAAATACAGTTAACTGAGTTTACAAAAATTCCTATAAATAAGTTGGTCAGGTTTAAGATTTGGAAAAGGTGCAAGATGCAAAGTTGTGCCTGTTTCATATTTACCTCTGAACAATGACCGTAATGGAAGAAATCGCAATTCGTAATTGTATTTCTTAATACTGCAGCTGAAATACTGGCAGTTTCTCCGGGCTGAGTAAAACAGATGTTTTGTGATCTCAAGCAGTACAATAGTGTTTTTACACAGCCGTTGTGAGGAACTGAAGGGGTGTAGAGGTTCACCCGCTCGTCTGTGATCACTGAAGCGCTGAAGCTACAAGTTCATGATTACAAGATAAAGCTGTGAAGATTTGATCTCTTATGGTGGCAGAAACAACACGCCTCGACAGCACAACAGTCAGTGGCACATTGAAAAACTCAATGCTGTTTATCAACAAAACAATATACAGTGGCAAAAATAAATAAAATAAACCAATAAAAAGTGTGATTGTCACAGGTTTAGGTAGCTTAAACAAAACACGGTATGGTCCATGTTTACATGCACATCAGTTCATCTATCTATCTATCTATCTATCTATCTATCTATCTATCTATCTATCTATCTATCTATCTATCTATCTATCTATCTATCTATCTATCAGTGCAGGCTTCATTTCGAATATGCTTGTTGAATTCCTCAATTGTAAGTCACTTTGGATTAAAGCGTCTGCTAAATGAATAAATGTAAATGTAAATATGCTGCTTGTTTTTATATTTTTTATCTAGAGTAATGACATTCATAAATTTTTTAGTGTGGCCTAAAG